CGTCGTAGCCCAGACTGATCAAACAGGCCTTGAACTCCTCCGGGCCCAGGGCACCGCCGTGGTCCTGGAAAAACAGGGAAAAAATGGGGGAAATGAGGGGAAAAAAATGGGGAATAACCCGTGGGGGCTGCTCCAGGTGGGGACTGGGCTGGGCTGTCACCCCCAAAACCCCCTGGGACCCCAAACCCCAGGATTCCCCCTGGGACCCCAAACCCCAGGATTCCCCTGGGACCCCAAACCCCAGGATTCTGGGATCCCCAGCCCCAGGATCCCCCCAGGATCCCCCCAGGATCCCAGACCTTGTCGAAGTGGTTGAAGGAGGCCCGGAATTCCTGCATCTGCTCCTGGCTGATGCCTTTGGCGTCGCGGGTCAGGATCTGGTTCTCCACCTCGTTGATGGTGCGGGCGATGGTCGTGAGCAGCTGCTCCCAGCCCACACGCAGGTGCTGGGAATGGGAATGGGGGAGTGAGGGGGGAATGGAGCCCCCAGGATCACCCTGATCCCCACGGGATGGATCCTGAACCCACAGGATCATCCTGATCCCCACGGGATGGATCCTGCACCCACAGGATCATCCTGATCCCCACGGGATGGATCCTGCACCCACAGGATCATCCTGATCCCCACGGGATGGATCCTGCACCCACAGGATCCTCCTGATCCCCTGGGATGGGATCCTGAACCCACAGGATCACCCTGATCCCCACAGGCTCATCCTGATCCCCTGAGATCCCCACAGGCTCATTCTGATCCCCACAGGACGGATCCTGATCCCTCCAGGGCACCCCAATCCCATGGGAGAACCCCAATCCCATGGGATGGGATCCCAGGATCTCAGGATCCCAAACCTCCACGGTGTAATTGGAACGTTGGCTGTCGAGGATCAGAGCTCCTGCCCACCCTGGGACCCCCCCAAACCCCAGTGGGACCCCCCAAACCCCATTGGGATCCCCCTGTCCCTATTCCCAGCCCCTTGGGACGATCCCAAACCCCATGGGACGGTCCCAGACCTCCATGGTGTAGTTGGAATGTTGGTTGTCGAAGATCAGGGCCTCCTGCACCAGCTGGTGCTGCTGCTCCAGCAGCTCCAGGTTGGGTTTGTACTCCACGATGTTCTCCTCGTACTCCTTCAGGTGGTTGAGCTGATCCTCCAGGGTCCCGTTCATCTCGATGGAGATCCGGCCGATCTCCTGCCAACAGCACCCCAAATTCCAGCCTGGCAGCCCCTTCAGAGCCCGAGCCCAAACATCCCCGGCCTTCCCAGCGCCCCAGGGGACCCCCCTGGGGTGATCCCAG